CTGACTGACCGACCAACAGACTGACTGACATTCCAGACTGGCAGTACCAGACTGACTGACCAACCAACAGACTGATTGACTGACATACCAGACTGGCAGTACCAGACTGACTGACCGACCAACAGACTGATTGACTGACATTCCCGATTGTCAGTACCAGCTGACTGACCGACCAACAGACTGACTGACATTCCAGACTGGCAGTACCAGACTGACTGACTGACCAACAGACTGATTGACTGATTGACCGACGAACAGACTGACTGACATTCCAGACTGGCAGTACCAGACTGACTGACAGACCAACAGACTGATTGACTGACATTCCAGACTTGCAGTACCAGACTGATTGACTGACTGACTGACTGACAGACCAACAGACCGATTGACTGACATTCCAGACTTGCAGTACCAGACTGATTGACAGACTGACTGACTGACTGATATTTCAGACTCACAATTCCAGACAAACAGACTGACAGCACTAACTGATAATGACAAAATGATAATAAATGGTGGACAGACAATTCTGACTGACAACCCAGAAGAACAGATTGACAGATCAGACTCACAGAGAAGAACATCAGAGCAAAACTGACAGACAGACCAGCCTGACAGAATAAAAGACAGCCTGACTAACAGACAGATCAGATTGACAGGTACAATAACAGGCCTAACTGACAGGCCAGACTGAGAAACCAACGTACTGATTGACTGACAGACCAGACTGAGAGACCAACATACTGATTGACTGACAGACCAGACAGACCACACTGACAAAATAACAGACTTTAGTTACTGACAGACTACACTGAACCAACTTACATTGACAAACTGTTGTCTGACGGGCTACCCAATAAATCAACAGACTGACTGACTGACTGACTGACTGGACAAATAAACACCTCAATAACAGAATGACTGACTGAAAGACAATTTTCTGATGGACAAACTGACTATCATACATATTATAATTGATTGACATACCAATGTCTTTAGTCAGAATACCCTTGTAGTATTTCTTCTGTAGGTCAGTCATCCCCGTATAAAGTATCACCTTAAAAATATAACAATTTGCTGGTAAACTTTAGTGGAGAGCTGGAAATATGGCTATTGACAGGAATATTACTGTTTTGAGTCAATGAGTCTAGAAAACTCTCTGAAAAAAGCAAGCATCATCATTTAATTGATGACTGTCACAATATTCACTACAAAACTGTGTACCTCTGTCTTTTGAGGAAGGTCTTTCATTACCTAAAAATGATTTTAAAAATCATAATATACACCTACTTGCAGAAACGTTGTCATAGAAAATAGAACATTCGAATTTAGTAAAAAGGCATAAATTAAAACAAAACAAAAGAAAGCGTTCAGCCTCAGTGATCTTCTTTTGTCTTTTTAATTTATTCCTTTTTACTAAAATACAGATGTCCTATTTTTTTATGACAACGTTTTGCAAGTAGGTGTATGTTGTAGATATCTATGTACCATGAATAACGTAGAATAAACAAGATATACCATACTTCTGATTTGACTCGTCTAAGAAGAAAAGGTGACAAAAGATATTGYAGGTCTGCACATTTTCCTATAATTCAACAAGAAATGTGGTTATAAGTGAATAGATGTGACTTACTGTTACACAGCAGTTACCTGATGARCTATTAATGTCTGAAAACTTGTCCACAAATTCTTCCTGGAAATCCTCCTTAAATATTTTAGGTGCCACAAATGATAATAAGGAGTATAACTAAAATTTGAAAAATAAAAAACAAAAAATAAAAATCGAGAAATCGAGATTAAATGAGACCACTATACATGTACATGCACTAACACAAAGATTAACTGACTGACCTCATTGAGATTGTTTTGTACTGGTGTTCCTGTTAACAATATTGAGAAGTCTTTCTTGAACTAAACAAAAATGAAGAATATGAGAACAAATTAATTGATTTCATTTTAGATTCTTATATCAATCACYATTYATGACTTCYYATACCCTGGTTCAGTGAAGARCAMTGMAMACTRYACCTTGATGYYACAGCTCAATGCTCTATTCATACAGGTCACTGAACCTGAGTATGGAACACCATGAAATGATTCTTTTTCTTTTGTCAATACTTTCGATGACCCTCAATTGTCAATGGTCATATAAATGATATCTTTCATAAGGATTGTAAATCTTATTCAAATGCATGTTTCTTTACCATGCTCAATTCTTGATGCAAGAGAGACTTTGAATTTTTCAATCGATGAGCTTCATCAACAGCAAGCACTTTCCAATGAAAACTGGTGTCAAATAAAATTTTAATATTCAGATATAAATGACACGACATGTTGTATGAGATGGATAATAAACTCAATGAAAGAAAATCTGTGACCTGATAAAGATACATACTTGGATAGGAAAGACACTTCCCTGATACAAATCTACAATGAATTAATGTGTATTTAAAATTACACCATTCAGTATTTTAAATGATTACAATTATCAATACTTTAAACAAGCTACATACAYATAATGAACATTATCATTTTTTAAAAACTTTAGAGCATGAATGATAGGTATGCATTAAAATTCTTGACATGTAATGAATGAAGAGAGCTACATATAACTGTGGTCTTCAGYAACACTGAAGTATCATACATGCTCTTTACAATTTCCAAGCCTATAATATTTCATATTTCATTTCATTATTAACGATATTCTCTTTTGTGATTGCATACCTCATATGTTGTCAGAAGAACATTGAAAAAGTCACTTTGACCCATTGAAGGTTGTACTGAATTCTTCAAAGCTTCACGTTCATCTTTATCACCCACAAGAGTAAGCACTTTCAAAGGACTGGCAAATCTATAATAAAAATACACTAGACTCTCTGATAATTCAAAGTGCTAAGATGAAAAAAATTCTAACTAGTCTGTGACCAGTAAAAATATTCTTCTCTGAATATTATACATAAAGTATACTTTATTACGTGGGCTTCCTGTGGAAGTCCACGTCTAAAAATGCAACTGGGTTTTCGTCGTGAATATTACGCTTCAAATTGGTAGCGCATCGGTAGCGCATGCGTTGCAGTCTCAGTTTCCATGGGGATGTCGAAGTAAATCAATCAGCGCTTTCTTTTCATTCATGACATGTATTGTTTCGTATGTCATTCGGCCTTGTGGTCTTATCGCGATATCTAAGTCACGTTAWAGCTACTGTGACCTGCTTTGTGACCAAGAAAAGCAATGTGATCAAGAAAATGAAGGAAACCAACCCTAGAACGCTGATCTCAAAGCYCTTACTACTTCTTGAATCATTCAAACGATCAAAATATTACTCAAAGTTATAATACTTAGAAAACTGCAAAGACTGTACCGTTTCTATTGTTTATTATTATCTCTGGAGCTACTACGAAACTATGATATAACATAACCTTTCAGGTCAAATTTACATATTTCGAATATTTGCATATTTTGAATAATCTAGACGCTCTTAGAGCGTAAAGTCGGGCTAGCTATTTTTGAAAACTGAGAAAGTCAAGGTACTTAAGTTAATTAGAGTTCAGTTCGGTAAAAAATTGTGATGTAGTAAATAGCTTAGGGTTGTCCTGACTTATTTCAAACAAAGACTGTATCGTGAAAATGAAATACTTATAGCTCAATGGCGGCAGCTGACCCATTKTCGCATCTACAGGAAGCCCACGTAAGCGATCAATGATCGTCTAGTTATATTATAAGTTCATAACACAAACTTCATAACACAAATAACACATGAGTTACCTCTTTAATTCAGATTTCCAATTGTCCAGCACAGAAAGAGGACAAAGAATTAAAAATGGTCCATCAATCTTTTTGGAGCCTTTGAGGTTAATAAGTAATGAAATAACCTGAAAATATGATTAAACAAAACGTAAATTAATACACTTTTACTTCCCATGCATAGTTGTATACAAGACTCAAGATTTCAAGTTGTAAAATGTAATCTGAAATAAGTAACTAACACTAAGCTTGATGATCTTTCTATTGCGCATATATTATCTAGGTAGAAATGATTGACTTGATAAATATCTTTCTAGTTAACTATAAAATTATTAAATTTCGATAAATTCGTTCGTCAGAAAAGGGAAAAAATTCAAAATCAGCATAGCCTTATAGTTGATCTATTATAAGAATTGAATATTTAACCTTCCAACAAGAGTTCTACCTGTATTGTCTTTCCAAGGCCCATTTCATCACCAAGAATGCACCCATGGCCAGTATCGTAGCACTTCGAAATAAATCCTACACCATCTAGTTGATATGATCTTAGCACTCTCCCAACCAAGCCATACTCCTCTAGCTTATCTTGAGTAATCTTAGGACTTGTACCATACTTCAACTGTTCGATTTTTTTCCTAATTCGATGCATTTATGAACATTTCTTCGCGAGGATGTTCGATGGTTTGCAAAATTGCGCGGGAAGTTAAATTTCGACAGGCGTTCCTGGTTGCTAGTGCCTAGTTTTCTCTYTGTAGCTCCCATCATGCAGTGCGTTGAAGGCAGCTGTTTATGTGGGAGGAATAAGAACGAAGCGTTGAACGCAACGAAGAGTGTCAAAATCCTAAACTTATTCAGAAAACAGCAAGGTAACTTCTTCTCCAAGTCTCCTAAAGTCGATGCCTACCGATTTCTTATAGCTTTAAAGTTTAATTGACGTACTTTTTATGACAATTTATCCGCTGATTTGACGGAATTGGAACTCAGATATTTCGATTTTGTTTTGAGTCGATTGTTTCAACGCTTTTTGGCATACATWACTTAAACTGATTATTTTGTACGTGGGCTTTTCTTCTGACGTTTAACATCCGCAAAATCCTCCATATTTGATCTTTCCATTGGAGGACTCTTCTAAAGACAACACAGTTTTATCTGGCTTCTACAAATTTCTGATCGCTTCTCCCTGTTTGGCTTTGAAGAGCCTTTCAAGTCAATGCTGAATCTGAACTGCTGATCTTTGAACAAGATTGTGTTCCATGTTCTAAGGATTGAAAAGATGAAGAACTTAGCAAGTATATTTGTCGTCGTTCTGGCTTTGCCGTTTGTTCTTTTAGAACAACAAAAGGATGATGATCTTTTTGTACACCACAACTACAAGCAAATGAAGGAATTGTTAGAAAAATATCACAAAGAWTACCCCAAGATTACTCGACTTCACAGCATAGGAGAGACTGTCGAGGGACGACAAATGCTTGTCATGGAAATATCCGATAATCCTGGCAAACACGAACCTGGCGAACCYGAATTCAAGTACATTGGAAATATGCATGGTAATGAAGTTGTGAGTCGTGAAATACTGATTCACTTGATTCGTTACCTGCTTGAGAATTACGACAAAGATCCTGAAATCAAAAAACTTGTCGACACTACACGAATACACATCATGCCTTCCATGAATCCAGACGGCTACGAAAACGCAAAGCCAAATGACTGTACAGGCGTAGTTGGACGTGCTAATGCCAACAATGTTGACCTGAACAGGTAAGAATACGTCTATAGAGCGGGATGTTACTTTTTTCGACTTTTGATCTCTAAATCTTTTAATTCACAATGCCTATGTTGTTTTGTTGTTTTTTTATCACTTTTATAATTCATATTTCTTAACGAAAGTGGGATAAARGGACTCTACAGAGTAACACGTCATTATTTTGTACCGACTTGTAAGTCACAATTTATCTTATATTTAAGCTTAATTACGATTTTTTTTTCTTTTTAAAAAAGTGTAAATTAAAAATGCTGAATATAGTGTAATTTTCCTAATCCTAATGATATCATTCGTTTTACTGTTTTGAATCCAACTTATATACATGTAATATAGAACCCACCAAAATCAACATTTTCTAAGTGATTCTCCTGAAGCGATATGCTGTCAAGCGTGTCACTCTTATATAAAAGCGGGAATATTTCATAAAAACAGGAATTTGTTTTCATGTTTTATGTGCAAAGTCTAAAAGAGAATGAAAYACATTGTGTAAGCTAAGATTCTTTTCAAATAGTAGATGTACATGTAGTACCTGTATGGGGATATTTTATTATTGATCTGACAACYGTTCGTCTCAATTGGAATGAGTATAATTATGCTGAATAATATTAAGGATAGTCTTATCAATTGAAAATGATTAAAAAAAGAGAATGGGTTGAAAACTAAGCAAAATGAGAKCGTGTTGTGAAATGAAAAATGCGTGCAGTTGAGACAGTAAGCACTGGAACACTGCTACTAATAGTACACCATAGAAAATAAGATCATTTTTTAAATGTGTAAACTATTTTCTTTTTTGATCCAACATTTTTTGAGTAACTATCCCCTGGAGTCTTGCTTTTAATTTTTCTGTAGATGTCAAAATAGAATAAGTAACTGTCTGTTTCCTGCAATCCATATACAAACAACAACCAAGTAATTGGTGAATGAATTTATAMGTAGTGGGCAATTATGTAACTAAGCTATAACTGGCTATAACTATTTTTGCTGRCTGGAGGGCAAAATAAAGGATTTTCGCCTTCTTGGGATCTAGAATTCATTGTTTTGTTCTCCAGTTGGATCTGCATCACTATAAACTGAAAGGGCTATTGGTCAGACTTACATGTTACAAAAAATATTAAACGTAGGAAAGTTACTTTAATTCATAATTGGGAAAAGGATTTTTTTATTTTGTACACAACTACATACAGCCTTTTGCAAAAATTATGAGAATTGTCGAAATATCTACATGTAAATACCATAATATCGAGTGCATGATGGGTAATCCCGCGCGATGCCCTTAGTCCCTTGTCTTTGTAGTTTAGTTTTTTTTTTGGCGACAGACTTATCCGTAGTTCTGAACATTTTCTCGATTTAAACAATGAATTATTCTAGCAAACCCGCGTGTTCCGGACAATATATGGATATGGATATTATGATATTTAGATACTTAGACAATTCTCATAATTTTTGAAAAAGGCTGTATACAATATTAATATTTAAACTACATGTATATCACAATAATGTATTGTGATATTTGTTTGTATAGAAACTTCCCTGATCAGTTTGATGAGATAAAAGACCCTCAACAAATAGAAACAACTAATATGATCAAGTGGATCAAGGATGTGCCATTTGTCCTGTCAGCCAACCTCCATGGAGGGTCTCTAGTTGCAAACTACCCATTTGACGACTATGCTCCTGGAAAGAGAAGTGGCACTAGTCAAAGCCCTGATGACAAGCTTTTCAAGCATCTTGCCTTGTCCTACTCTGAGGCCCATCCCACCATGCACCTTGATAAGCCTCCTTGTAAGAATGACCCTGATCGATTCCCTAAAGGTAAAATATTGTGTTTGCTCTTATATTATAGTAGATTTTTTACAAAAAAATTATTGTTATTGTGATATATCATAGCTAGCAAGGGGAAAGGATCAATTCAGTTACATATTAAGTCTGCTGTGCTCTCTTAATTTTTCCCTATAAATTAAACATCAAATTTTCATCAAATCTCTTTGCCCAAGCTATGCATTCCCAAATCTTGCTTCTTGGTACAAATTTAACCAACAGTAAAATCTGATCTACAAATTCTGGCAAGACTTCTGCATTATGTAAACTCTCCCCGTCTGGTATTTATTTCCAGGAATCACTAATGGTGCTCATTGGTATCCAGTTGCCGGAGGAATGCAAGACTACAACTACTTGAATAGCAACTCGTTTGAAATCACTGTTGAAGTCAGTTGCTGTAAATTCCCAGAGGCCAGCACATTGAAAAAGTTTTGGGAGTTAAACAAGCCTGCCTTGCTTGCATATCTTAAACAGGTCCATACAGGAATCAAGGGATTTGTGAAGGGGGAGAAAGGACAGCGTAAGTACATGTATCATTCACCAGTTATTGGCTCATTGTCTTGCTGCCAGTCTTCTTTCTGGTTTCACAAAGGAAAATTAGACGTTCTGAATGGACACGAATTGGGAAGACCAAAAATCTACAATCGTTGACAAAATTCTTGGATCATTCCAGAAAATTTTCCCATTTTAAGCAGAACCTGCAGACAATTTCATCACCCATAACCCCCTAAATGCCATGTTGTCATTGAGAATGTTGCCATAATACACAACCATCTAAGACCGAACATAGGTGAAAGGGAGAAAAAGGGCTAAGGGATTCTCAAAAATGAGAAAAAATTAAGGAAAAACATTTTACACTGGATACAAATAATTTTATGATCCAAGGTTTTTTGACAACGATTGTAGGTTGTACATAATGGTACATTGAAGAATTTTATAACATATCAAATCAATGAGCCTTTCATCTCCAACCCAAGGCTTTATTTTTTCCTTTGTTGTATATGGACACTAGACCTAAGGGTACTTTTTCCAATTATTTGTCACTTGTAAAAATCGCCAACACATATCAATGAAATCTTCAGTTAATACTGTATGTATAATCAACTTGCACTATTTTTTCATCAACAGCTTTGGCTGATGCAAAGATTGATGTATTGGATCGCCAGCACACAATAAGATCTGCCAAAGATGGTGACTACTGGCGCTTGTTGCTTCCTGGCAGTTATGATGTGCRAGTACAACACCCAGGTCATCAGACACTCACCAAGCGTGTGGAAGTCCGTGATGGCCCTGCCAATGTATATMATTTCGAYATGAARCCAGTAGAGGGTGGTGAATCTGATGAAAGCTTAAAGCTTTCTAAGAAAGAAGAAGTGTCKGAGCCTTCCAAGAGAAAGTCAGCACCTGTAGGCTTGATTGTGGGTCTTACAGTCATCTGTGTTATAGCACTTGTACTGGCTGTCTCACTKGCTGTTATGATAACCAAACGACACAGGGAAAATGCAGATACAGAGTCTGGTTATTCACAAGTCTCAACAAATGCTTCCTAAARGAATAGTATTGGTCTTGTATATGTTAAAAAGTTATTTTTGAATCATTATTATGTTGAGTTAGCCGATTTTCCTTGGCTTCCTATCAATATAAATCAAATTATATTATTATGKACAGTCAGTCCTGGAAAGATTGAACATTCAGTTGAAAAGCCATAAAGACAACAACAACAACTCCAGATGAATTATAATGTAATGAAATTTTGCAAACTTATGTTGAATATATTCTTGTTGTAAATTGAAAACAGATACAGGCAAATCATTTTGTTGTTATTGCTCTTACGTCTTTACAACTGGACAACCTTTGCAGGATTGGCTTAAACTTAATAGTAAAACTCAAGTGTACTTAATAATTTCTTCATTCCATTCTTACATACAGTGCATGCATTGAGCATATTCATTTTTTATCATGAAGGATCCATCTTACATATAAAAACAGTTGAGCAAACAAATTTTGATTTAATAATTAATCAATCAAAAACTGCCATAAAGCATGTTGCCTCTGTCTTCACACTTGTAAGTCCTTTCATAGACTAGATACCATCAGTGGGACCCAGTTTGTTATCTGCCACATTGACAGAGAGCAGACTGGGGACTGCATATGGGATTTCATCTACTCATTTTATTATTCTGTATACTCAAAGCAATTCAAGGAATTGATTAGTGTGGATTTCAACTAGATTTGGCATCCATACAAAACCAGTTTGCTGAATTCATTATTTCTGGTTTGGTGTCAAAGTAATGCAGACCTTATTGRCRCTGTTTATTYAAGTTAGYAATATTGCAAATTGGAAATATTATTTTGTTACACACAAAATTTAATGTCATGACTACCTGTAAGCTATAAACATYGTGGGTTACAAACACAGATTATATTGTAGCATAAAGGTGATAAACTTAAAACTTCTAGTCATATATGTAGACCATGGTCTAATGGGAAATATTATACTAAACTGGTTTGGATTCGATCTTCATTCTTTGTGTGAACTTATATACTAAAACAAGGTATATTACTAAGGTACTAGAAGATTGACTTTTTGTTGTTAATGTAATGTAATTTTAGCATCAAATGTACACATGAACCTAATTGCAGAAACATTGTCTGAACTGTTATTTAGGTATTTAGAACCAATGGAATGCATTACAAAACAAGAGATGACCACCACTGAAGGTGAACTCTTTCTTTTGTATTGCAATGAATTCCCAAAGTGCTAAAGATCGATTTGTTGGACAACGTTCCTTTTAATTAGGTTTRGCGACAAAAASTTAATGTCATATTCAAGGGTTGGAATAACTGGAATTAAAACTCTTGGAAGGGTTAATAATCTATTTGAAACGCACATTGTGGAGTTTGCATTTCCTATTAGTAGGTTAAACTCCTTTCTCAAGAAAAAACATATCCATACTGCATAGGGGCAAATCTACCATTTAGACAGCCCCTTGGGAGATGCCCCTTCGTCTACGTTAAGGTGTATATATTAATTTATGGTGTAGACTTTAATACTAAATTAAATAGCCAGTGAAAACGTTAAACCCACGAAAATCAGGTCAAGTTGTGATTATAGTCTAATAGACACGAGATAAAAGTTGAGCTAAATATTGTTTGTTAGTAAWATTTCACAGGTTTGTGGACACCAGTTTAGCATTATAATTTTAAAGGATATTTATGGGTGAAAAATAAAAGTCGTTTGTTGGGAAAATGTTGTTTATTTATTTTGAAAGTATGTGTACATTTGTATGAGAGATTGTAATGGTTTGTCTTTAGTAGTATACTTGTTATGATAACAGTTTACCAAATAGAAGGTGTTTTAGATTCTTGTGAAACCAGAGCGAGAGRAATGCCGAGTGACAGAAGATTTGATACGCCTGAAGTATGGAATATGCTGTGCTAGTGATCAAAAACTAAAAGGTACTGACTTGATGTCAAATCAGCAATGACACTGATTCTCATCATGAATTAATAATGAATCAATTAATTTGCACTAATTGTAATGATGATAGGTGACTTAATCAATTCAAGTATGAGGTTTCGAATTTATTTTTAACGTATCTCCCAAACTGAAATGGTGGGGGTGGGTTACGGCTTTTAGTGGGGTCAAAATCAGAAGGCAGATGAATATCAAGGGGGGTTACTATGGTACTAGCGCTTGGCTGGTGGAAGAATGGGACCGAGAGTCGAGTTGCAGTGGCCGAGTTTTTCACGCGATGTTTTGTAGCTTTAAAGTAACCGCATGTCCAGATCTCTAAGACATCACCAAAAAGAACGACCTGTGTTCCTGAGAAAGAAAAACAAAATACCTGTTAACAACTAGTTAATTCTAATAAAAATTGGATATTGGGGGTAAAGAAAATACTATTCGCTTCGCTCGAAGAAGCAGAAYTAGCTAACATACCAGGAACGGGAGGAACGTCAATCCACTTCCCATCTCTTGTTTGAGCCTGGAGTCCGCCAACATCGTCCTGTAGGATCAGCGTTATTACACCATAATCTGTGTGAGGTCCTATTCCCCAGTCCCCAGACTCCTCCGGGTGAGGAGGGTAGTGCCACAGTGCCATCAAAGGAAATGGCACAGCAAACATTTCATCAAAAAAAGTTTCTTTTTGGCCAAGCTTTACAGCCAGGGCTTTGACTAGTACATTCCTGTCGATTAACAAAGCGCTGTAAGTCTCTAAGGAAAAGTATTTAGTATTTAGATGTCAGMATTTTTACAGARAATTTAGTGTATGGACTTACCCAACATGGGTCATSTTTCCGATGTAATCATTGATGACCCCAGGAAGRTGTGGCATTGTTGCAGGATATTGATTATAACCCTTCATCATAATCTCGTCTTCATCCTCTTCTGGGGAAGATTCATGGCCGAAGTAAATCCCCTCCTTGATGTCTGCCTTGTGGTTGGTGATATCATCTCCTAGTATAAAATCATCAATTAATTCAGTGATGAATAACGTTGTCAGAATATAAAAAAGTAAGTTACAGCATGTTTTAACTGTCTTGGCTKTTATTTGAGTTAGTGCGCTCCGCCCCAACCCCTGTAATGACTGTAATGAGTGGACTAACCCTTCTGTACAAAACCACGGAACACCGGACTRTTCTTGATACTTATTTCATTCTTTTCATCAGATGRCAGGTCAAATATCTTCTTGCCAACGYCGAACATGTTACCACACAGTTGATTTTCATCATCATATCCACTGATGTAGAAAAAACCTGTTGTCTGAACTGCTTGTCCTATTTGGTTAATGACGTCAGACGACTTGATGTCACCTAGGATACAAAAGGAGTGTGAGTATCTGTCCATGAAGCTCAGGGGCGGATCCAGGATTTTTAAGGGGGGTCACTAGAATGCCGCGAATGACTTTTGGCGGGAAATTTGCATGACGGATTAGTTTGGAGAACGCCGGTATCAAATAGAAATTCCCCACTAAAATTAGCGGATTAATTAGGAAACTAGCTAATTCACTTAATGTTTTTCATTTTAGAAGATTTATTTGTTTAATGAAACATGTTCGAGAATTAATTTTTTCCCAAAAACGGGGAGGCACCGCCCCCCAGGACCCTCCCCTAAATCCGCCACTGAAGCTTTAGTTGAACAAGAGAGGCTACTGGGAACTAATAAGCTTTTCTTGTCGACTGATACAACCATTTTAAAAAGGTAACACTTTAAGTCAGGTCCTCATACTTTTGTCTAAATTTTGGCTTATGATAGTAACATATAATTAAGATATTTATTCTTAATGGAAAAAACTTCAATGATATAGAGTCCATTTTGGTAAGAGGTAAATATATAAAACTTTTTTTCCTGTAATGACGTTGTTTATCACTATTCAATTCGTAAATGACTAACCAACTCTATGGACGGTATAGGCGGTATATCTGACTTTTTTTTGTAATACGGTGGGACTTTCATCGCAATGCATCATGAGGCGTCCAAGATCAAATTGACGCAAAAATGTTGGATTATAAAGAACTGATTTTTAATTTTATGAAATTCTTGACATTTTGATGAATAGAAATAATCTTCTGTTTGTTTATTTTTTGTTATTCAAACATAGCGCCCAAATCCACATGAAGTGAACATATCTTCTATTAATATCTTTTTATATGCGAATATTATTAAAATCTTTTTATATACTAATAAACTCCCTGACAATGAATCGTATCGTGGACGTGGTCCATCGCCAAAGGTTGTTGAAACTGAAACTATTTCTTTATAAAAAAAAGTCCTTTGTTCGCCTTACAGACGCAATTAATTTTATAAAACGAAGTATTTAAGGGGGCTGTATATTTTTACAATGATAATATATGCACTAAAAAATACACGTGAAGTTAGCACAGTAAGGGGATGTTACTCTTGATTTTTTTTTTTGGGGGGGGGATGAATATGGCTAAAAAGAAGTCTACGGTAAATTTTATGGTTTTTAAGCCAACAAATACATGAACTACAATATTTGGTTCAGTATCCAACTGCCTTCAGGTAAAGAAAATACCCCAATATTTTCACATTTCTATAATTCTTATTTCTACCATGACTCGAAATGATATTATAGATCAGTAAACTAGGTGTTGCAGTCACATCAGTAGTGAAAGTAACATTGCGATAAAAGTGAGCTTAATGGGTAAATCAGTGAACCGCAAGAAAACACTAACGAGAAACTATCCTTCTAAAGAGAAGTTGGTCTTGAACAGTATGAATAGACTTTGCAAAGTGATGTTATATCATAATGATGAAAAGGTACATTCACATCGTAAAAAAAACTACGGGAATTCAATATGCATTTTATTATTAAAAGGGAATTCAATATACATTTTATTATTAAAAGGGAATTCAATATACATTTTATTATTAAAAAAGGTAAAAAAAATATTCGTGAATTCAGTGGAGGCGACCGATGAGCTAATTTCAACCAATGAAGATAATAAGTTTTAAAAAATCTAAAGCAATACGTCGAAATACGTCGCAAGTTCACTTTAATTGACGCTGACTGAGCAGTCAAGTCAACTTACCTTTCATCAATGGACCAATATCAATAATGGGGRTCTCCATTTCCAMACCACCACACATTAGAACCTGGAAATAGCTAATGATTAACTTGGCTGTCAACAACCTATTTACCACTCGTTTCCAGTGACGTCAAACGGTTTCTATGGTTTCTTGTTGTCAAAGAAACGTACGCCMTTATATACGTCATATCTGCTTAACTTAACCATTTACGCGGTCATTTACAATTGAAAATGAACTACATTTATCAATCCTAAACCGGCGAAAAGAATATTTCGCTAACTCCTAGATTCTCATTTTTACGTTTTTATAGATGGRTTTTAGACAATAAGATTTTATGTATCGTTGCTAAGGCGGTAACCTGTTGCCATTGARACACACACGTCATCKTTATTTTATGTTAAGGTGAAGGTCACCGCTCAATTCATTAAGGTCAAACTAATTCAGAAAAAAGCAAATACTGATCAGAAAGGCATACAAGGTATTCTACCATATGAAATATGAATTACGACGTACTGTAAATCCTTGATAGTACCTTAGGCATGACCTATTATATTCATTTACTTGTTAGAAGGGAAAGGTCGTCAATAGGCAGCTTATCAATTCTACGTACAGGAACCAATCAGACTCTCAGTAATGCGTTGAAAAATATGCCYATAAGCATTGACCAATCAAAGTGGCTTATAACTGGGTGGTTCAGTGTACCTCTTCTACCCATCCCCAGTCAGCCACCTGTGTACGCAGGTCCAGATAGACGCAAAATGAAAAAAACTGGTTATCACAAAAATGTAAAAAGCGCTTGCACACCGCAAGCATTGCGCTGAATTTCTTTAACAGCAAACTGGTCATTCGAAGTTGCTTGAATGGTAAAAGTATCGGTAGCAAGGACTTATTTCGTTTCTTTTTCAAATGTGTTTGCGTCGTGGCAATTTGTAATGATTGATGGTATTTAGTAACGTGACAAAGGTGATTGTCCGACAGATGGTCACGAAAAGTGACAAATCGTGACAAAAGGGGATTGTCTGATAGTGAATGACACAAATAAATACAAACAAAACAACCTTCCGGTTTGTTAGACTTTCAACATTTTGGCTTATTTTATTCAACATCCATCAGTTTACAAGGAGAATCAATTAAACATGAAAGTGATCACTAAAGAGTTGTTTTTCACAAATATAATCTTTTCAATTATTTTTAATCATTAAGGCGGCGGCCATGTTTGATTTTCTAGTATTCCATTTATCAATGAATGATCTACAGACTGCAAATGTAATGCAGATTTTTGTTTAAAAGCTTTTCATGATTGAAATGAGCCAGCTTTGAATCGATAACAGCAACACTGAGATTGAAATCATCACCGCTAAAAGTAATTATTCAATGATTATTCAAACAGGTATGACCATTCGTCATCAAGCTGCCGTGCCGTTATATTCGCTCTCACCATACAGGCCGTGGTTTTCAACACATTATATTATACGTGGACACTTGCTCAACTTTTATGATCATAAAACGGCCCAAATAACATGGCCTTCACATATCTTTAATACGATATCTTAAAAATCAATTTGAGCGTCTGCTCGGCCTGGCTTTCACTACGATTGAAACATCGTGAAAACTAACCAAACGCTAGTTCAAACTTTAACCCAAACCCAAACGAAATGATGAACATTTTCCTTTCCTTGCGTTGGATTAGTTTG